TTGCGGTACTCCTTTGTTTATGTCTACATAATTTGTTTCTATTCCGTTTACTATTACTCTTTGTCTCCTATCAGTCAAAAAATTTCTAATCCAATTTATAACATATGGATTAATGTTGGTTTTTCCTAGCTTTTTGCAAATGATGTTGTGAGAAACGGAATCAAAGGCTTTCTTGAGATCGAATGAAATCACCCTGACATGATCAACATCACCATCCAGCCAATTTAGCCATTTATGGTGACAAATAATAAGAGCATCAGTTGCGCTGGTACCTTCCTTATATGCGAATTGGTCAGATTTTATTAATTGTTTTAGTTCTGATGAGATCTCTTTTTTAAACACTATTCTTTCGAACAATCTCATTATTACGTTCGTAAGAGATATAGGCCTTAATTGTGTACATTCTATAAGGGGGCTTTCCTTAGGTATTGGATTAAGATTGGCTAATTTCCATAGGAGGGGAACGCGTTGCTGTTCCAATGACATGTTAAATATCTTTGTTATCACTGGTGCTAGATATTTTGCGAAGTCTTTCCATACCCAATAGGGTAGGCCATCAGGACCTGTTGATGTTTTCTTTTGTTTTTCCAAAAACCTTTCTACAGTGGGTATATCAACATTTGGTACTCTAGTCTCATTGGGTATAGGAACGAGTTCAGGATATGTATAATTATCATCAGTGTTTATTGTCTGGAAATAACTATTTATAACACTTGGATCAATATTTATACTGGTGTGATTTGCCTTCCTACCGGTGATTTTATTAACTGTGTCCCACCATTTCTTCGAACCAGATGCATATTTCCCATTCTCCTTCTTAACTTCACTAACCATATTTTCTCGGATAAGCTTATTTATCTTTCTTTGTAGATCTTCGTTAACTCCATTCCTCACACTTTTATTGCGTATTTTACATAAATGTTTTACCAGAGGAGACATGTATGGGGGATCCCGTGTGGATAATTTTATCTTAATCAATGGAAAACTGTTGTTGAATGCAGAAGTGATAATATGATTTAATAACATAACTGATTCGTTCACGTCTTCACAGTCATCAATACAGCTCCAGTCTTGTGCTTCCAACTCTCTCACCATAGCAAACTTCCGATGGTCTCTTGCATCTCTAAAATAAACTGTTTTTCTTTCCGGTTTTACAGCTACCCGTGGAGTTATCACGACAGCCAAATGGTCAGATTTTACTAAGCCATCAAAGACTCTAGGGTGATTCCATAAGTGTGGACAATTAGTTAGGAAAATGTCAAGTATTTTCTGACCTCTTGTAGGTTTTCTCACCATTTGTTCCATATTATGTTGACTTATAATATCCTTAACCTTCAGTTGATTAACATCTTCTCCAATTATAATTCTGGCATTTGATTCCCACTGAAGAATTTGCTTTATACTCTCTGATAAATGATTTAGTAATTCGCTTTCCTGATATGTGGGGTCCGGAGGGTGATACACAGAGGCGACATAGTATTTGCTATTTGCTGTCTCAATTTCACACCAGATGCATTCCAAATTATTTTGAAAGTTTAGAGATTTACATTTCCAATCTTCCCGACAAATTATAGCAACACCTCCTACGGGAGTAATGCTCATGTCTTCATGGCGAATTCGGTATGCGTATCGGCTTAGTAATGCACGCGACAATGCTCTTTAAATTAAACAAGCGTTCAGTATTATAGCCGTGTTTACACTACGAGTCTAAGCCTGGCCTATAGGCCTAGCTTTGGACTAGATTTTTGTAGTGTAAACGCACTTTGGGCCTGGCCTAGGTTAGGAAATGTGTAACACCTGTTCTGATGGCCCAGATGTCCTGACCTAAGCCAGGTCGAAGTGCGTTTACACTACAAAAATCTAGTCCAAAGCTAGGCCTAGGTTCGTAGTGTAAACACGACTATGTAACACGCATTTCGCGCAGTCAAAAAACAATGTCTCTATAGCTTGTAATCATGTTTTGACATATGTATTGTTGTTAATATCACTACAATTTGTATTACTAAACGCCTATAATCCCACGTTTAAGAACATTATAATTACACAAAAATATAAAATTCAAAATATAAAATATAAAATACAAAATATAAAATACAAAATATAAAACACAAAAATACAAAATATAAAACACAAAAATACAAAATATAAAACACAAAAATACAAAATATAAAACACAAAAATACAAAATATAAAACACAAAAATACAAAATATATAAAACATAAAAATACAAAATATAAAACACAAAAATACAAAATATAAAACACAAAAATACAAAATATAAAACACAAAAATACAAAATATAAAACACAAAAATACAAAATATAAAACACAAAAATACAAAATATAAAACACAAAATGTAAAATACAAAAGTGGTTTTATGCGGCTGTCGCCTCTGGGCTTCCGTAGTTTATACCATTAATAACATTATTATTTACAGGTTAAAGATAGCTAAACATGATAGCGTCCATATAAACTTCTGCCGCCTTCCACGAAATTCAGCGATCTTTTAGTATTTAACAGTTTGCTGCAAATTTCGAAATTTTCTGAACCCTCTGATTTTCTGGCCTCGCGATCGCTTTTTTGGAGCCTCTTGCCCAAAGGAACAAAAAATTTTGTGTTCGCGGGCCTGCTTTTGGAGCCTCGCCTTTTTTAACTTTGGGGCCTCGTGGTTTTTTTAGTTTGGGGTTTTGCATTTGGGGGCCTTGGACTCTTTAGGGCCCCCGCTGTTTGGATCCCGCGCTAAAACAGGGAACAAAATAATCGTTTGTGGCCCCGCACTTTGGGGCCTCGATTTTTGAATCTTGGGGGCCTATAGCGTTTTCTGGGGACCTTGGATTCTTTGGGGCCCCGCGCTGAGACACTAAAACAGGGAAGAAAAAGAAAACATTTGGGGCTGATTTTTTGGGGCCTCGTGTTTTCTGGGGGACTTGGGCTCTTTGGGGCCCCGCACTGGCGCATTGTTTGGGCCACGCGCTGAGACAGGGAACAAAAAATTCACAAAATGATAGAAGAGAGAAGCGCGGGGCCCCCAAAGCGCGGGGCCCGTGGCATATGCCGCTTCTGCCATATGGTTAATCCGGCACTGCAGACTGTTGTGAAACAGACTGTTGTGGTTTTTTGAGGTAAAACGAAAAACTATATTACGCTCTATCTATATGGTATTGAGCACTGTTTGTGTTTCGTAAACCAAAATCTTAAGCTATATATATATATATATATATATATATATATATATATATATATATATATATATATATATATATATATATATATATATATATATATATATATTTCTAAAATTCATGAATAATTCATGAGCTAATTAGCCAATGAATTTCTTAAAATCTCGTCACATGATGACCCTTATATACCGTGATATAGATCGGTGTGTGCTGATTTAAAATTCATATATAGACCACATGTACCTTTATGATAAAGGTACATGTACCTTTATAAAGCATTCTTTAACAAAATGTTTATTAATCTTTTCCTAATAAAAACTCGAATATTCGAGAAATCAATAAATACTTTATTTTCCAAAGTTAAAGGTAATGTTACAATTGTTAAACACGGGATTAACAACCCTTTCGTTTTTTATTACACACCACTTTAAACTCTTTAAACCCAACAAACTTGCTTAACTAAAATGCTAAAGACGCTTCATTCATCTCCGCCAGCGATGTAGTTAATGGCTGGTTTGGGCCAATATCATCAGTTTCATGACCACCATCGTCGATCTTCACTTCTTTAACCTTTCTAGCAGCTCTCCAGGAATCAGAAATCGTCAAAGCCCACTTTGTCGCGTATCTTGTACTTAATTGGCGGCATCGATCTTTCGAGCAACGTTTGCTCCTCTTCAGCAGCTCGAGCGCTTTGAAACCGACTCATTAACAAAACAAGTCAAATATGTTCAAATTTCCATTTGAAAACTCCGTTTAACGACTTGTATGACTTGATAATTAATCCAGTCATTAATTTGCTTGCTGATCAATGAAGGGAAGAATCGTAAAACAATAGAACTATTGTAGTTAGCATTTCTTATTATTTCATTGGGACCCAAAACAAAAGGTGAATTTTAGAAGTCATTTATAAACCTCGTGATTGGGCTTTATCGGTGCCTATAGCCGCTCGCCTTCGGCTCGCGTCTATATGCACCGATAAAGCCCTCTCACTCGGTTTATAAATAGTATATATATATATATATATATATATATATATATATATATATATATATATATATATATATATATATATATATATATATATATATATATATACCAAATATGTATTTAGAATCATATATGAGTAGAGTGCTCGATATACCGAAGTATAGAGCTAATATAGATAGAAATAAAATAAATAAATATATACATATATATATATATATATATATATATATATATATATATATATATATATATATATATATATATATATATATATATATATATATATATATAGTATATACCATCCAAAATAGATGAAACAAATTCGATGAAAATATTGTGTATAATTCTTGGTCACTTCCGGAATAAACATAACTTAAAAGCCTGAAAAAGTCTTATAAAAAGTGCCACTTGAAAATTAAACTATATCTGAAACAAAAACATGGAAGTAACTTCAAATTATTAAAGAGCAATTGGATCACGGGTTTTTCAGGTAGCAAAAGCGTAGTACTTCTTTTTGTAGCGGTTGGAGCTCGTCGATGAACTTTAATTGACTGGTGTGTTAACACGTTGATTTCAGGAAGGGTACAAGTAGTAAAAGCCAATCAAATGACCCAACGTCCTTTGGGAACAAATCTTGACTTCTCTACATTGGAAATTCTATGCAATGACTCAGATAATACGCAGACGTTTGTATTCAGAACAATGAATGTGCATCTTTATTTTTAAAA